TCAGAAAGTTGAAGCCAGAGCAATCAAGAAGACAAAGAGAAAATCTGCATACCCCACCCAAGCTCTTAAGAGTCATTAGCCCCATCACCTGGGAAGCAGGATATGATAATGGGATTAAACCACAGATATCAAAGCCTAGAAAAACACTCAGGAATAGCCTCAAAGTTCATGCCACAGGAACAGGAAACTTCCAGGCAGGCTAGAGGGTATAAAAAGACCATCTGCCCATGTGCTCACTCTCTTTCCTCTCCTCTGCTGCTTCTTGCAAGACCATCTGTCTTCTGCAATAAACTGTAACCTTCTTCCCAAAGCAGTTGCCATGTTTGCTTATTTATTCCCGGCTTGGATGAACCAGGATGAAGACTTACCTTCTAACATGGGTGTTAACACATTTTTGGAATTCTGGAAGCAGGGAATTTTATTTGCATATGTTATTGAATGAAAAATTAAACTTCAGTTAACAGTTGGTGAAAATATGGTTGTAATCTTTCCCCATGGACAAAAATTCAGGTACCCCTGCCCAAGGGAGCTGTGGACATCAGGTTAATAATCCCTGTTGAATAAAGTGACAGCTGTTAAAGCCCAAGAGCATTTGGGAAACAAAATAGCAACACCTTGTGTTTGGAAGAAGCTTAACCCTAGCTGTTCTAAACTTTATATTGCAATCATAGCAATGACAAAGTTGTTGGTTACAAAAATCTTAATATTCAATCTAATTAACAATTTGCAATATAAACCATTATTAAGGGGAGTGAGCAATTCTTGGTCCAGCTTTGCCCTTGTATAATCTTTGCTTTAAAACAGAATGATCTTGATTCCAAGGCTACAGAAAAATAGCAAAAGATGGAAGCGTATCTGGCATCTAAGAGATTAAGGGAACTTTGCAGGAATAGCTTTTGTAGGTATTAGGCTACTTAACAGCTCTCACTGCAATAGTTAGCTATTCATTGATAATCATGTTATTTTATGGCTATTTTATGGCTATTTGTGATGCCTAAACTTTAGTGATTAAGCCCCCTTCTGTTTAAGATGACTAACATGTTTGAATTAATAAGTAATCTTTTAAATCAGGGATGTCAAACTGCTGACCCGCGGGCTGGTTGCATCATGTGGAGACCGCACTCACTCCAGCTCCGGCAATGTGAAAAGTCGCAATACATCGCGACACATCACATAATGCAGCGAGTTTGACACCCGTTTTTCAATGGCACCCACAACTTTGTTTTTAAAGTCTTTAAAGTGTAAGTTTGGTAGTTACAAAGTCTCTCAGTTTATAATCTATTTTGACAAGTTGATGTAATGATATAGAAATGAAATTTCATTTAAAAGTAGGATTTATTTGCGTCAGATAAATATCTGATAGTCTCTAAAGCTTTTCAATGCAAACTTTCTAGCTCAACTATTAACTGTATGGAAAATTGTTAGTAAATCTTTTAAAGAACAAAATGTGAACATTGTATAGTTTCCTCAATAAAGTTTTTCCAACTCCCTACTGCCATCTGTTGGTAAAAGTCAGCATTGCTTAGAAACATGATTGATTACAAGTAGTCCTTGATTTAAATACATTTGTTTAGCAACTGTATGAAGTTACAGCAGCACTGAAAAATGACTTATGACCTGTTTTCACACTTACGACTGGTTCTCACATTTGAGGACCATTGCAGCACCCCCATGGCCATGTAATCAAAATTCAGGCACTTGGTAACCAGCATGTATTTACATTGGCTGCAATGTCCTGGGCACATACTATTTTACCATTTGCAACCTTCCCAGCTAGCTCTGATAAGCAAAGTCAGTGGTGGAAGTCAGATTTGCTTAATTGCCAAGTGATTCACTTAACAACAATGATTCATTTAACCATGGCAAAAAAGTAAAATTGGGCAAACCAAACTTAATAACTGTCTTGCTTAGGAACAGAAATTCTGGTCCCTATTGTGGTTATAAGTTGAGGACTACTTATATGGAAGATTGTTAACATTTCAATTCTAAATGCAATAAAATGAAAGACTTGAAAAAAAGCCCTACTCTTCTGAGCTGATTTTAGTTTTTGTTTAGCCTGAGCATCCCACTCTCCCACGGTAGAGGAAGGGGGAGAAGGAATGCACATGTTTACTGGGAAGTAAATCAGGCGTTGGTAACAGCTTGCTAGCCTGATCTTAACTAAGCAGAGCAAAGCTGGTAACATTTGAATGGGAAAGCCAGAAAACGCTAGGGTCGGAATAGGAACTGTGGGAGGGGGGAGCAGGAAAAGGAAGCAACAAATTATATTACTTAGTGTTTCTGCTAAAAAAAAAAACCTGCCTGGACCTCTACCCTTATTTCTAGGTAACTGCGAGTGTCTGTGTACGTGGGCAGACAGGCACACGAATTTATGACAGCTGCTTTTTGATCCTAGTTTCTCATAGCAAAATTTTTCCTTCGATGTTAAGGAACAGCAGAAGAAAGGACAATTCTGTTGAGGTTGCACAAATCAGTCCTGATACACTTACAGTCTCTGTGTAAGAACTACGTTTCCCAGCGGGTAGCAGTTTATATTTGTGACGTAATAACATGGCGCCGGCTGGCTAAGCGACGCGCTCTTCCCTGTATCTTCTAGGTTCCCGGGTGGATTCCGTCCTCCGTTTTTCACGTATTTTACTCAAGAATCCCATCATCTTCGCTTTACACAAACTAAGGTTCGTTGATC